TCCTGCCTCTGCCTCCCAAGTAGCTGGGACCACAGGCGCCCGCCACAACGCCCGGCTATTTTTTGGTTGCGGCCGTCATTGTTGTTTGGCGGGTCCGGGCTGGGGGTTTGAACCCGCCACCTTAGGTGTACGTGGCTGACGCCTTAGCCGGTTGAGCTATAGGCTCCGAGCCGAGGAGGTGGTTTTAAACCCCTGGCAGGGAGCCTGGAAGCTGGACCCCCAGTGAGAGAGGAGCCCTCTGTGGGAGAGTGTGTGTGGCTGGGGGTCCACGGGTGTCTGGAAGCCAAGGGGAGAAGTGTATTGGGGAGAGGGGAGAGCAGGTTTGTGGCTGTTATGAGTGGAAGCACCCGTGTGCTCTGTGATACTGGTGTGGGGCTCTATAGGAGGGAGTCCCCTGGTGTGGGTACCAGAAAGAGTGTGTCTGAATGTGCTCCACTGTGAACAGAGGTGGATGTTTGCTGCTTGGGGTATGACATTTGTCTGGAAGGTACACCTAAGTGGACAGGCAAGAGATAAGGATCAGAGGTTGGTGGCAGAGGGCACCCTTCCCCATCTTTGTTGGATCTCTGGCCCTGAGGACTGAACTTGTTCCTTCTTCCCCTAGCTGTGGTCTCTGCACCTGGCCTGTACTCCCTTTGGTGTGAGGCATCCATTTCCCTCCTGGGGCCACAGTGATCATGGAGAGAGCTGCAGGGTTGGAATGAGGACAGGGAGATGAGGCAGGAATAGAGAGGGTGGGATAGTCAGTGGGTCTGCAGGAGACTCTGGAAAACAGCTATAAAGAGCCCAGAGTAGGGATGGTGGAGAGTGGCAGAGGGGAGTCAGGGTGTCCTGTCTATTTCCCATCCATGGCCCCATGTGCCTAGGATGAAGGAGGAGGGTGTATGGGGGAGGGGAGAGTATGATAGAGTTGCATATAAGGTGTGAAGGTCACATCTGCCTGTGTGGGCACATACTGGGAATGGAGGTGTCTATGTGGATTGTGTACTTGTTTCCAGGGGAGGAGAGTGTTTCTGTGGTGTGTGTGTGTGTATGTGTGTGTGTGATGCTCCATCTATCCCCAGTTCAAATGTGAATAGCACAGGGTTGTCCTCAGGGGTGAAGATGGGGGCCTCAAGATATGTAAGGAAGATCCCTAAGGAGCCTCTTTCTCTCTTCACCCAATATATGATCATGCTGCCTGTTCCCTCCCCCAGTGGGTTCTTTGGGGAGCCTGATGCCTTTCCTATGTTCGCCACCAACAACCGAGTGAAGAGAAGACCCTCTCCCTACGAGATGGAGATTACTGATGGTGAGTCTGCCTCCTCCCACCTTTTTATCTGCCCCTCATGCTGGTTAGAGCCCTGCACGGAGGGAGCACTGGGGACTACTCTGTAGGTGTCTTACAAAGATGGGCAGGTCACCTTGGGCCCCCAAACTGCTGAAAACCTTCACCCTGCAACTGAGCTGGGACTAGGTAAAGTCATGGTAGGTTGGGGAGGGCCACACTCACAGACCTAGGAAGAGGGGACGTGGGAAAGGGTCATAGTGGTGCTTAGCCCACACCTTTAGAGTTCATCCCCATGCCCATTCTAAGTTTTATTTCTGCATTTTGGCAAGGATTCCTCTAGGCACTGACCCTCAGGGATTCCCTTTCTGCCTGGAATTGCATTTTCAAGGGTTTAGTCCCAGGTCCCTACACTGAAGGGCTTCCTTGCATTTCGGGGTGCATTTTGAGCTGAGACCGGAGTTCTCTTCCTGATACCCTAGATTCTACCCTGTTCCCTGGATTCCCCCACAAGGGCCTCAGCACTGCTACTGTGAGCTGCTGGAATAGTCTTTGGCCTTAAGCTTGCAGGGAGCGGTTGGATGAGTGGAGACTTGGAGGACCCTCACCCACTTTCCAGGGTAACCTGATGTAGTAGATGGGTCCCACCGCCAGAGGCAGCAGAGCGGGCTCATTAGAGCTGAGAGACTTTAAGGAAAGTGGCCCTAGGAGTGGTGCTCCCTGGACTTCTGCCTGGAGGCAGCCTGGGGCTCCTGTAGGAAGGGGACCTGAGGTTTAGAGCCTGGCTGGGATTTGTGCTTATAGCTGGCAAAAGGGATGTGTGTATGGAGCTGAAGCTTCTGGAGCTGGACTGAACCCTCTTTGGTGTTCTGGAGAGGAGGAGGCTACAGTCAGACAACAGAAGAGACCTCAAAAGACTCAGCCATCCTGGGGCACAGGCATGTAGAGCTGAGAGAGAAGGGTGCTGGGGGTGTAGTGCTGCTAGATCAGACAGGGGTTCTCCAGTCTAGGGCAGGTGGGTGAACCAAATGGGACGTGGGACCAGCCCTAGAGTTCCCCAGGAACAGGCATTTTCTGCAATAGGCAAAGGAGGTGGGCACAGGTGGCAGATGTTTGCAGCGAAGCCATCATCCATAAAAGTTACCAATATTTACTGAGCACCTACTCAGGGCTGGGCCAGAGAGGCAGAGGATGCTGGAATGATTGACAGACTTAGGAAAGAGGCAGGTACAAAGAAGGGGGAGTTTTCTGGGAAGCAGCCAGAGAGGAAAAGGCAGAAAATATAAGTGAAAAGGAGGGTGTGGGGGTGCAGGATATGTCCATGGGACTTTGGAGTACAAATTGAACCCAAAAAAGTCGATGGAAGAGAAACTAATGCAAGATCTAGAGCCAGGACTTGATGTGATTTCTGTTGCTGAATTTTTTCTGGGCCTCAATAAATGGGGAGAAAATAGCTTTCTCCCAGATTGTTGATAAAAAAACAATGAGATTTTCAGAGGTAGTTAGCCCCTCTCCACCAGAGACTGAGACCACCTTAACGTGGAGATTTTGTCTCCATTTCCATGATGGTACTCCTAGTACCCAGCACATTGCTGACAATCCTCTGGCAATGGTTCAGAGGGTAGGGATGGAGGGGCAGGTGAGTACAATTATTGGTACCATTTATTAGACACCTACCTTTTGCCATGAGACTTTGTGTGATCAAGTTTTATCAATTCTCACCCCAAGCCCAAGGGGGCTTGCATTTCACGGATGATGTAATCAAAGCTCAGAAAGGTTAAGCAGCTTGCTTGAGGTCACACAGCTGACTCTACCATTCTCACAGCACTCATCTTAAGCTTTGGAATAAGTTGACCACCCTTGCCTACCTCTCTTTCTGTGACAGCAATCATAGTGTCCCCCTCCCCAAGTAGGTGCTCCCTCAACATCACCAGCATTAGCCAGGGTGCAGAGACTGGTGGGTCCCTATGTCATAGCTGAGGGATTCCCTCCCTCTGGCCTGGAGGCCCAAGAACAGCAAATTATTTCCTCTGGGGAAAGCAGGGCCAGACTGTCCAGCAGGTGTGCTGTGTTTTTCCCAGCCTGGGTTTGGCCTTTGACAAAAAGGCTGCTGAATTGGAATCTGCTGGGGTTGGACAGCTTTAGAGGCACTGGGAGCAGGGGATGAGTGATCCTGCCTGGGGACATATGGGATGTGTATGGGCACACGTGCATGTTTGTATGCGTGTGCCTGTGCATGTGGGAGAGAGAAAGATGATCAAGTAGGAAGTAGAGGCATAAATATGTTGGGTCGCAGAATGACCACTGAGGCAAGGTCTGCCTTCATCCTATAATCTCAGTCTCCTTAGATGTAAAATGAGCAGTGAGATTTAGGCGAGGTCTTAGTGCCTCCTTTTCCCTCTCCCCCACCCAGACCTCTACATTCTGAGGTCTGGTTCTAGGTGTTATTGGAAGAGGGCAGATAGATATCCAGGACCGGAATTCCTTCATGCTCAGAACTTCCTGAGGACAGTATGAGCTTGGCTGAGTGTGTTAGGGAAGCTGTCAGGAGCACTGGCAGGGCCCTCCTCTATCTTCCCTTAGCTTTGGGAATCCTAAGTCAGGCTCAAACACTTAACATAGCACTTTGCACATCATAGGAGCTTGATACATGTGTGCTGGTGTAAGTTTTCATACATGGAATGCTAATGACTATTGGGCCAAGCTATAATCAGTGCTATGTAGACATGGGGAGAATGAGGCAACCCTTGGAAGCCTGCCTAGAGCCACAGGCCATGGCTGTGCATGGCTGTCTCTTCACTCCTGTCCTGGAGGTGAGAGTCTTTCTGCTCAGTCTTTGGTCTCTCCTCCATTCCCCTTAGTAGCAGACATTAACTAAGCCCCTGTTCTGTACTTTCCATCACCCTTAGGATAAAATCCCCAGAACTTCTGCAAAGCCCTGTGGAATCTGACCTGCCAACTCTGATCTTGCAGGCTCTACTCCAGCCAGACTGGCTTCCACTTCGGGCCTGTGCATGTGCCATTCTCTCTGCTTGGATACTGTTCTTCCTCTCCCCTTCCAGGGCTTAGCTGGCTCTTCTGAAACCTTGAGCTTTTGCCTTATAAATCCCACTTCCTCAGAAAGGGCTTCCCCAGCCCTTTTTTGATGAAACTAAGGCACTTCCAGAGTATTTATGTAACTTTCCCAGAGTCACTGGTCAGGAATGGTCAAATGGTCAGGAACTGAACCCAGAAAGTCTGGCTCTAGAAACTGTCTTCCTAAATAATGCTATAAATAGGCATCTTGGCATAAGTGAATAGGTTAAGGAAGGAAAGAATGAATGACACATGGTCCCTGTCCTCAAATATCTCACAGCCTAGAGAGAGAGACAAGCCCAGAAACATAAGTAATAAGAGTGACGGAGATCAAGGGATTGTAGGACTGTGGTGGTTGGTTAGATTTATCTGCAGGGGTTGAGGGAAGTTCTCAGAGAGGATGAAACATAGGAACTTGATTTTAAAGGGCGGATGTTTGCTAAGTAAAAGTAAAGAAGGCATTCTAGGATTCCAGATTTCCTGATGGATGGAGATTCCTTTGGGGAGCTCTAGCCCATTTTGCTAACCCTTGTTCTCCCAACCTCTAGGTCCCCACACCAAAGTCGTGCGGCGTATCTTTACCAACAGCCGGGAGCGGTGGCGGCAGCAGAATGTGAATGGGGCATTTGCTGAGCTCCGTAAGCTGATCCCCACTCACCCCCCAGACAAGAAGCTCAGCAAGAATGAGATCCTCCGCCTGGCCATGAAGTACATCAACTTCCTGGCCAAGCTGCTGAATGACCAGGAGGAAGAGGGCACCCAGAGGGCCAAGCCTGGCAAGGACCCTGTGGTGGGGGCTGGCGGGGGTGGAGGTGGGGGAGGGGGTGGCGCACCCCCAGATGACCTCCTACAGGACGTGCTATCCCCCAACTCCAGCTGTGGCAGCTCCCTGGATGGGGCAGCCAGCCCGGACAGCTACACAGAGGAGCCGGCACCCAAGCACACAGCCCGCAGCCTCCATCCGGCCATGCTGCCTGCCACTGATGGAGCTGGCCCGCGGTGATGGGTCTGGGCCACCCCATATCATGCAGGAGGGTGCCGTTAGGTCCCTGGGATAGTGGGCTGCAGGGCAGGTGGGATAAGAATTGGGCAGCTCTGAAGCAGGGCAATGGATTTGGTGAACTTTCCTTGATGTCTGAACTTTCGGGAAGCCTTTACTGACCTTGGGGCTGGCTTTGTTTCCTGTCTCAGTGGGAGAACAGAAAAATGGAGCAAAGTGGTAGGTACTTTTTATGAAGACGGCACGGTCTTCCCCTCCCCCTAATTCCTAAAACTTCTCAACTATGAGGCTCAAGAATCACTGCTTTTGGCCTGAAGTCTGGGAGCCCTGTATTTGCTGAGACCTGGGGTTGTCAGCTCTCACCTGAGGCATCCAACAGCCTCTGCCTTGCCTTTGATCCCCCCCAAGCTGGCTCGGGTGGCTCTTTAGCCACTCCTATCCAAACACATAGGTACCCAATAGCTGTCCATTTCTTGAGCCCCATCTTCACCCAGGCCTATGTTGATCCATCCAGCTTGCCAGCTGCTGCAGTCACAAGCCTCGAGGTGCCTTCTTCAGGGCCTGGTTGAAGAAGATGGCCAGTGGACAGCCTGCTCTCAACTAGCTGGGCCAGAGGGTCAGAAAACCCAGTAGCCCTTACTTCTTGCCCTGGGGACCAAAGCTCTGCTTTCTCCCCATTGAGACTTGCCTTCCTAATCTGTGGCTGTGGGGACCAAGTCTGCATTCTTGAGTGTGCCCGGTTGAGTTTTGTGTGAAGGCAGAGAAAGAAAGAATGGTATTAGAGTGACATTAGTGGGAGCTATTTTGGGCATGTGCGTTTCACCTGCTATCTACATTACTATTCATAGTGGTGGGTGCGTATTGGTGCTGATTGTGGGTGTGCAGCCCTGTCTGTGAATTCTCCTGGCTGCTCACAAGGATTTCCCTGGTGCAGGACATCTGTTTGCTAATGGTCTGGTCTCTGTTCAGAATTGAGCACAAACTGTCCTGTGAGTTCTTTGCATTTGGGATTTTTGCTTGACAGAAGTTATTGGTAGAATCTTTAGGTTTCAGTATGACCCCAGGGTCCAGCCCCACTTCCAGGGCAAAGGAGATCCAATCAGAGACCAGGCCTTGGTCAAGACCCAGACATAGGCACATTCACTGAGCAGAACCTTAAACACCCCTTGATTATGCAGCTTTCAGTTTTCAAGGGTGTGTGTGGGAGTTCGGTTTAATGCAGTAGGAGTGCCCCCCTCCAAAAGTTGTACATGAAAGTTTTGTAAATCAAATCCTTATCCTTCGTCTTTTGAAGAAGTAACTACCGCAAGTTCTTTTGTAAAGTGAAGAATCCTTTTGTAAAGTGAACCATTGCTCCCTGATTTATTTCCTGTTGTCAATACAGATGGTGGGATGGTGGTTTTCTGAAGGCTAGGCTTGTCTGTGACCTACATTCCAAGCCCATGGGACAAACTGCACAGAAGTCCTATGTGTCTGTCATTGTGCCCTAAGTCATCCCAGCCCTCTCCCACCAGGCCCTGCCTTTGACGTCAGAGAGATACCTTACGGCTCTGTCCTCCCATGTAGCAACTCTTCACAGTGTCTGTCCTGGAAGCCCCTCTCAAAGCTGAGTTTCGGCACAACCCCTCATGGTGATGGGGTCTTGAGTTCAGCCATATGTAGATAGAGAATGAACTCTGCCCCCACTTCCTTTTAAGTTGTCAGGGCCAGTTCTTGGGCACAGGGGCAGGATGGTTAACCCTGAGGCATTCTTGACACTCCATCCCATCTCCGATGCCCCAGATTGTGTTGGTGAATACCAGGGTGAGTTCCTTCCCAAAGCTTGGATGATCCTGTGAGCATCTAAAGATGGAGCAGCTGTTCTAGGCTCTAAGGCTGTGTTTGTTTCCCTTTGGATCAGTTCAGCTTGGGAATGAAAAGTGGCCACTGTGGAGGGGTGGATGGCTTTATAAGGTGGATCACCTTCTGTTCCTTCAGAAACTCAAGTTTCCAGTTTGCTGTTTCAGATTTGCTGTATGACTGGGATAAGGCATCTCTCCCAGTGTCAGTGTCACATAAGTACCCTGGCTTGGCCTGTGTCTCATGCTGTGGGGTGGACTGCATGGGCTCATGAAAGTAGAATTATTTTGAGACATAAAAAGCTCTGTTCACCTCAATATCAATCCTGTAGTGGGTTTTCTTGATCCCAGTCCAGGACTAAGGCAGTGGGCCAGTCTGCTGCATTGCACAGCATTTGGGCAATTTAGATTATAAACTACTTTTGCCTGAATTATCTGAAATGTCCTCATTTCTCCAGATTGTCATCCAGACAGAAATTAATTATCTCATTCCAAAGCAAAGGGGGACAAGAATGAGAATGGAAGAGGTGGGAGCATGAGCAGAATGTGTAGAATGTAATCAGCTACCCCTAACAGACTTGAATAGGGAAGGGCAGGACTTCTAAGTCTTTGTAAGAATTAAAGGAGACCCCAAATTGTTATTTTCATGCTCTACACATACCCCTCTTCCTTCTCTTTCCTCTGCCTCCTTCCTCATGAAGAAATGCAACATTCCAAGAATGGTATCTGTACAAAAGGGAAAAAATGCAAAGGTGAAAAAAAACAACATTTAGGAGAAGAACTAAGATGAATGTAACAACTGGAAGGAATCACATCTTTTAAGAAAAATTCGTATTCTTTTTATCTTTAGTGTTAAATGACAAGATGGTACAACCTTTATTCTTTTCCAAAATTAAAGCAAAGGGCACAGAATCTATAGTCAACTCTTCGGCCTTTTGGGAGTGGGTCTAGCCGTACTTGTGATGTCAATGGTACGTGACCCTCTGCCAAGCCTCTGCCGAAGGCTTGCCCCCTGCCCATGTACATAGCTCATTATTTCTATGGGCAGGCCCAGCACTTTCCGTCAATGTTGTACTGTATGTGACAAGTTTCGTTGGTCTCTGCATTTTTCTGCAGAAGAGGAGTAACCGCTCAAGGTACCTTGACCTTTGTATAGCCCAGAGGCCAACACTGTGGGTGTGTGACTCTTTAGCAAAAAAAAAAACAAAAAACAAACAAAAAAACCCCATGTGGTGGTGATGTGTGTATATATATAAGGCTATATCGGGAAGATTTCTAAATAAAAGTTTTACAAAGGGGCCTGGTCTCTGTGCTTGCATTTTGTATCCTAGACCTAAGACTTGGGACATTAAAAGGAAAGGCATGGCAAGAACCTGTCTGCCCTGAAGTGGGGGAGCCCCAGGGACTCAGCTATGTCTTAGTCTGTGGGCCGGGGAGGGAGAGAAGTTTCCCCCACAGAGTTTCCATTTCTTTCCCTCTGCCAGGCCTCACAGAGGGGGCCTCTCTTCTAAGCAGCGAGTACCCATGGTTTTAGCTCGAGGCAGCCCTGGTGGGTATCCCTTTTCCTGTTGGGATCGGCTCCCCTGGCTTGGGCAGTTGCATGTATCATGGTTTCCCTGATGACTCAAAGCAGGCTACAGCTCCATGCCTGGCTCTTGAGGACTGGGGGCTCAGAAGGAGGATGATAGCTTTGGAGCCTATAAACCTAGGACTCTGGGAGGCCAAAGCAGGTGGATCTCCTGAGCTCAGGAGTTTGAGACCAGCTTGAGCAAAAGTGAGATCCTGTCTTTTTTTTTTTTTTT